CGTGCGCCGGAGGTGCCCGCGCCCCGGGAGAGCGCGCGCCCGGCCAGGTGAGCCCCCGCGGGCGGCTTCGGGTCTCCCGGGGACGCGCGTCTCCTTTCTGCGTGGTTTGTCGTCTGTCACAGATGTTGCGTTATGCGAGTTTTTATCGTGTGGTTTCTCTCCCTGCTCTTAGGCAGATGTGCAATACCAACATGTCTGTGTCCACTGATGGTGCAGTAAGCACCGCGCAGATCCCAGCTGCGGAGCAGGAGACCCTGGTTGGTATTTCTGTCTCAGGTGGAACGTTCGCAGATAGTGTGTGTGCTGAGCTGATCGACTGAATCCGTAGACCTCAATTGTGGCGTGACTCTAAGTGAGACTGTGTGGATATAGCTTACATTCTGCCACTCCGTGGGGAGTAGAAGTTAACTGTGAGAATCAGTATTTATTTTCTTTGCGCTTTACCGCCCTGGATTTAAAAGTAAGTTCCGTGACATTCTCAAGCTGAGTGCTGAAGTTGATTATGTGACCGCTTGTTTGTTTCTATTTTGACCTGTCAGTATTGAACTTCTTAAATAGTTTCTAAAAGTCGCAGAAGTAATTCATGCTTGTAAATATTTTAGGGGTTACAGAAATGTATAAAGTAAAAGCTGAAAATTCCAGTCTTCTCTTTCCACCGTGTCTCCTTGTAGATCTCTCTCTGTGTACATGCTACATATGTGACGAGTCAATTTTAGTCTGTCATCTCCTGTTCTACTAAAACAGGACTAAACTAAGGATGTTCTGCAGATAGCATCCATGTCAATATAAAATCTACAGAATTCTTTTTAATGGCTGCATAGTACTTCATAGCATTAGTATACCATTTTTTAAATTTATGCTTTTACTGATAGGTGTTTTAATTGCCTTCAGTTTTTGAGTATTACAAATAGTGCTGCTCTGTACATGTATCCTAACAAGTGTTATGTGAATATTTCTGTAAGAAGGATTTTATAGAAGTAGAACTCCTGGGGCCTAAACTATACACATATTTGATTGCTGCTGCTAACTTGCTCACTAAAAGATTGTACTAACGTTGAATATTATCAATTTTTTTTATTATTTTGCCATTTTATCTGTAAAAGGTACTCTGTCGTCGTTTGCATTTGTATTTCCCTAATCTCTGGTGAGGTTGGGCATCTTGTAATTGGTTAAATCATTTGTTCTGAGATTTGCCTGGTCTTATCTATCCACTTTTCTTTAAGATTTATTGTATTTTTCTTAATAATTTGTAGTAGTCTCTGTGTTTCAAGTTATATTTAACTTTCATCATTTACAAATGTTGCATTTAACTTTGCTTATGTTGTCTTTTTGCTGTTGAGAATGTTTTTATGAAGTCAGATTTGTTGGCTTTTGAATTTCATAGCATGAATTTCATGCTTTGGAAGAACTCTGCCATCCCAATATTATGCAAATATATTCCTGTATTTTCTTCTAATTTTCAAAAATTTTTGCATCTGGGTCTTCCTTCATCTGGAATTTATCTTTTTGTTCTTAAATGTAAGATTAAGAATGATATTGTCTTTTATGGTAGTTTTATTATTAATGCATGTCTTTTAAGTGTTAATAAAAAACTGATGTCTTTCCATTGCAGATTTTTACTGTGAGTTGTTTCATGCAGTTTGAAGTTAATATAGCATATATAAAATTTTAGGAGAAAAAAGTCGTTATTTTCTCTGAGAGAGTTCATTCTTTAAATGGTCTGAAAGTAAAGCGCAGATGTAAGCACATAAAAAAATGTGTGATCAGAACAATTGATGATTCAACACTACATCTATTGTGTATTTTAAACTTTTCAGTTATTAAATATTATTCTGTTGATTAGTTGGAAATAGGCCATTTTTCTTAGATCTAATTTTGAGAGTTAGAGCCAAACTGAAATGCTGTCAGATTTCAGTTAGAGGACAGGAGTGTATCGAGAAGGGCAGAGGCGTCAGTCTGGGAGGGGTGGCAGGCTGTGAAGGTCCTTGAGTTTTGAAGATTTCGATACAGCAACAGATAGCAGAAAGAGCGTAAGCACGTTAAGTCCCCGCCCTCTTGCAGGTTATTTCTCAATACCACTTGCAGAGCCTCTAGATCAGTGTCAGGCAAACTACAGCCTGTGGGCCAGATTTGGCCTGCTGCCTATTTTTGTAAATAAAGTTTTATTGAAATGCAGCCACGCCCATTGGTCTGCATATCATCTATGCTTCTGAGTCAGATCATCTGGCAGGAAAAGCTTAAAATATTTACTCTGTGGCTCTTTTCAGAAAAAATTGATGCCCGATCTACTTGGCTGGCTCCTTGAATAGAGGTCATGAATCACACTTGTTGTTGTTTTTGGAATATCTAGCACTGTCTGGTGCATGGTAGAAGCTTGATAAATGTTTGTCAAGTAGATACTTGACATGTAGACCAACGAAGGCAGCATGACACAGTAGGAAGAAAATGCTGGCTTGTCGTTCCGGGATATGAGTTGCAGCCTCAGATCTGCTCTTAATTATCCTTGTCAGCTTGGGTTAGTTATTTAAGTTCTCCATCTTCAGGAACCTAATCTTTAGAAAGAAAAGATTGGTAAAAGAACCCATCCTAAAGATTTATTCTTTTCCCCTGGATTTTGTACTTTAGCTTACACTAAGCTCATTGGAGTATTCCTTTTATGGCTGATTTTGTAGGGTAGTAAGCAGATGATAGAAATAGCTGCAGGAAAGAGAATTCTCACTGTGTTGGCTTGGGTACCGTTTTTGATTGCAGCTGATGATGCTTGAGGATTCTTTGCAAAGTAATTAGATCCTAGCGTGTGTGTGTGTGTGTGTGTGTGTGTGTGTG